GGGCTGTAATTGCCGTTCTTTCTCTGGGCACAACTGGTTACTATCTTCTGCTGGTCACTCCTGCAAAATGGCCAGATATGGACACCAGTGTTAGGGAAAGCTTAGCCCTGTCTCTGGCCAACTGATTGTACGGGACTCTTTTGCATCATTTACCTGCTCTTTGTTCTGTGATAATGTCATGAAAACAAAAGACAAAGTATCCCTTGTTAAAGAAGACTCTTCAATTATGCTTCCTACAACAGCAGGATTTTTTATTTAAACTGGCAACAGTGAACACATTTATAAAAGCAGCCTCATTTTGTTTGAAACTGAGATTTATTGAGGGAACAAGTAGGCTTTTGGGATGAGGCTTTACAGTCATTTTTCAAGCCACAAAATATGTTTTGCTTGACAATGAGAGAAGATTGATTAATATAGCGTGGTTTTTACAAAAAAATTTAATCACAGTAACCACTCAGTTCATAAAAAAAGAATTCTTCCACAATACCATCCACTCAAAACCACTAACGGCAGTGATTCTTCACACTGATTCAGACTGTATACTAATCTTTGAGAGTAAGGAGAAGATCTAATCTAAATGAACCACTTGGGCCCAGTTGAGGCAGACATTGAATATAGCTGATGACCAACAACTAAGTTGGAGGTACATATGTGCCATACACAAGGCTGTTGTGTCTAATGGCCAGGAGCATGCGTATTGTACCATGGTGCTGGATCTGGATGTGGTGTCCCTGGTAAATACCGGAATGAAAGCAATGGGAGTTTCTCATCTTGAAATAAATCACTTAGAAACAACTGCATTTCACAATTTGATATCAAAACTTTAATTGAGAAATAGCTACATGTGACTGTAGACAGGTAAGCATTCATGCCAGCTGGCTTTTAGGTACTGACAATCCAGTGCAGACCAGCTTTATTCTTTGATGTTGTGAAATGGTTCACTTTTACTCTGGCAACAAAGTAAAGGTCGGGATTTAGCCCAAGCTACTACCACAGGAAAAGACAACAAGCATGAAAACAGTGTTTACAGACCATGAAACAGTAAAATAATAGGTGCTTTATAGCTGACACTGCATTAAAAAAAAAGAAAAAAAGAAAAAAAGAAAAGAGTGTAAAAAGATTTGTTACAGCTGGGAATCAAGAAGCCAAGGCACTTTACTTAAAAAAAGACTTTTCTGGTACCCACTGAAAGCTAAATTCAGATCTATGCAGCCATTTCTACATTTAAGACAAAACTCTTTGCAAGTAGAACTGTGGCATGGGAAAACTTTGTCTGTTTGAATAAAAAGAGAGAGTAAGTATTTTTCCTGGCATCAGTTAGTGCAGTATTCTACTCATAGATGGGGAAAACTCTCCAGAAAATGTGACAGACTATTGGCAAGACCACAGAAGCCAGAAGTCAAGATTGAAACTCTTCTCAGCTTACCCAGTGGTGTTCAACACAGCACCTCAAACGTTGGAGACAGTCGCCTGCTCTCTTACGTCACCTTGGAGGCATATGTCAAAAGTGTGCCAAAGAAGAGCTAGGTGAATTCAAGATGAGATTTTCGTCCTACTTATACAGTCTTTGTTTTGCTTTGCATTTGTTTAGTTTCTTAAAATGTTTGTCATTTAATGTAGAATGTCAGGGTATGTGTTTATTGTTTTAAATAAAATCTTACATTTTTTATAATTTTTTCATTTATCTAACATATTCTAATGTTTTTAGATATTTTCTTTGACCTGAGACCTTAAAAGCACTAAGTGATGGAAAAATCTATGATAGGGAAACTAATAAAGGAGAGACTTGTGTTTTGGGGGTGGGGTGGAGGTGGTGAGCAAAAAAGGTACCTGTCAAAGAGTACACAGAAGTTCAATGAATTGGACTATGCTCTCAAAGAGTACACAGGAGTTCAATGAATTGGACTGTGCTCTTTTGTATGCTCAGGTTCTAGCCTGGAGTTACTCATGTGCTTGATATTAAGCACATGCATAAGTCTGTGCGCGACTGGAATCTATTATTGCCATGTTGACATACATTTGTTAAGGGTTTGATTCTGCTAACTTTTCTATTGGCAGCATCGGGAGATGCAGTAAGGTTCTGCAATTTAGGAAGGTATTACTCTGCATGAGGAAGATGGAAGAGATTTCAGGGAGCTTCTAATACACTAAACTTTAGAGACCATTCACAGTAAACCACATTTTAAATTCATTTCCATGGCCACGTTTGTTTCTAAAATACCCAATGACATCAATCAAGCTGTAGAAAAAAAGAGATATATAAATTTCCAGCCCTAAGAACAAAACCATTTTAAAAGATTTATTAACGGTTATTTATATATTTAAGTCCAGTTTCTGTAAGATCTCAGTAGTGTGAATAAGTGGTTTAAAAAGCCTGCTCCTTATTTATTAGCCTTCCAGCTATAAATACATATTTGGCCTCTGGATTCTTTTTTTTTTTTTTGATGGCTTTAAAATATTTTTTGCCTTGATTGATGCCTAATAACCCAATTTTTTTTGTCCAAAGCAAGAGTTTTGAGAAATACAGATTTACTATCGTATCTTCACTGTGGCAGCTGCTGTTATTTAACTGATAACACACCGGTAATTTGAAATATCTTCTATCAGGATCATAAACCCATATTTGACTACTTTGTCTTGGGACTTCAGTGTTTTATCCTGGAGTGTTTGAACTACGTGCTCAGGCAAACTTAACTTTCTGCTTTAAATCCAAATGTTCCAGTTGCTGGAAGCACTGCATTCTATTTACACATTCCTTGCCCCATGGAGATTTTAATGTGCCATTTTCATCACAGTAGCAGCCGAACTTAGATTGCTTTCTTTGACCACAAACTTGTACAGTGTAGATTTATAAACTGAAGAGTAGAAAGACTTTATTCTTACTAGCTCCTCATTTCAATACAGTGATGTATAGGAATGTAATGAAATATGATGGATGAAAGTGACAGTGTCATTTTTCCTAGGATGTGGATGCTCTGCAATGAAGTCTGGTTGTAGGGACAGGACACTGCTTCCATCTCCTTTTCCATTTCCCCTCTTTCTCCTTGCCTAGCTCTGGCTGTGTTAGCCTGCTGGCTAGTGTATCATAAAGTTAGAAAGCAAATAGCTTTGTTGGGAAAAGTCTTTACTGACTTAGGTGCTAATGTAGCTGATATTGCAAATGTGGCTATGTAAAGCTTTCAAGCTATTACCTCTGCATGTCAGGATACTGTGCTACGCCCACTTGGTTGCAGTAGCATAGGCTCCTGAGCAGAATGCAGACATACACATGGGATTCCATACAAATGCAACCTTGCATCAGTATCTTCTCAAGACTGTGATTAACCCATAATTTCTGCTAGAAATTGTCTTTCCTGAGTTTAACAGCTCTTTCTAGGACAAACAAATCTGTCATTAAAGCTAAAGAAAAAGCTAATTCAATGTGAGTTTGATTTCTGATTCTCAGCCAGGTAAATTTTGTAGGTTAGACTATTCCTGCATGAAAAATTTAATGCTAGGAAGGTTATTCCTTTTTGCAGCCCTACCTGCTTCCCATGCACCAAACTGTAGTTAATGTGGTTATTATTTCATCCTTGTTCAACACCTTGTTGTTAGAAAGGGAAAGCAGGTAGAAAAGGTAAGAGAGGGACATAATCTCTTGCTACTGTTTCTGAACAGTTTTTGTTTGGGAGGCAAGACAAATCTGAATTGATGTTTTGTCCCCTCTTTCTTTGCTATATCCATCTGGACATTGTGCTGGAAACGGTAATGTAGACAGATTGCTCATGGGAAAGAAACTTAATTCCTTAGATAGCTGCACAAGGCAGAGGTATAAAAAACCTTTATCAAGTTGGGTGGACAAATTATTTTCTGACATGATCTATTTGTAGAAATATCTCTTACTAGCCAAGAAATATTGTTTAGAGAAGGATAGTAGCTATGCCTATCATCTACTTCAGCTATCCTTGGCCCCACTCTTCTTCTGGTTATTCTCTTATCAATAACAGCTACATAACATCATGTCTCAAGTGTCTAAATTAAGGACACATGGTTGTAACAGAATCACAGAATGGGTTGTGTTGGGAGGGACTTTAAAGTTCATTTATTTCCAACCCCCTTGCCATGGGCAGGGTCAACCTTCTACTAGACCAGGTTGCTCCAAGCCCTTTCCAGCCTGGCCTTGAACAGTGCAAGGGATGGGGCAGTCACAGCTTCTCTGGGCAACCTGTACCAGTGTCTCATCACCCTCACAGTAAAGAACTTCTTCCTTATATATAATCTAAATATACACTCTTTAATTTTAAAGCCATTACCCTTTGTCTTATCACTACATACATTGTCGGAGCAATCCCAGGCACAGCTACAGGTTGGGCAGAGAAGAGATTCAGAGCAGCCCTGTGCAGAAGGACTTGGGGGTGTTGGTCGATGAGAAAATGAACATGGGCCGGGAATGTGCGCTTGCAGCCCAGAAAGCCAACCATCTCCTGGGCTGCATCAAAAGGAGCGTGACCAGCAGGTTGAAGGAGGTGATCCTGACCCTCTACTCTGCTCTTGTGAGACCTCACCTGGAGTATTGTGTGCAGTTCTGGTGTCCTCAACATAAAAAGGACATGGAACTGTTGGAACAAGTCCAGAGAAGGGCCACGAGGATGATCAGGGGACTGGAGCACCTCCCATATGAAGACAGGCTGAGGAAGTTGGGGCTGTTCAGCCTGGAGAAGAGAAGGCTGCGTGGAGACCTCATAGCAGCCTTCCAGTATCTGAAGGGAGCCTGTAGGGATGCTGGAGAGGGACTCTTCATTAGAGACTGTAGTGATAGGACAAGGGGTAACAGGTTCAAACTTAAACAGGGGAAGTTTAGATTGGATATAAGGAGGAAATTCTTTCCTGTTAGAGTGGTGAGGCACTGGAATAGGTTGCCCAGGGAGGTTATGAATGTTCCATTCCTGGCAGTGTTCAAGACCAGGCTGGACAAGGCCTTGGGTGACATGGTTTAGTGTGAGGTGTCCCTGCCCACGGCAGGGGGGTTGGAACTAGATGATCTTAAGGTCCTTTCCAACCCTAACTATTCTATGATTCTATGATTCCACATGCCCTTGAAAAAAGGCCCCTTGGACTTTTGTCAGTCTTAGACTCTGTACAGGAAATACTTAGAGCAGACATTGGCTCACAGATATCATGCAATGATAAGAAGTGGATCTTTCCTCCATACACAAATGAGTGTACTTGTTTATTTTATATCAGTTGAACAACATCTGGTATACCTAAGCTTCTAGCCTAACTCTTTGCTGGTTTACTGAATCTTCATATTCAATAAAGAAAAAGTTATTAAAGAAAGAGTGATCTTTAAGCTTTTTTTAATTCTAGGGTCTGTAAGTTAGATACACCTAATGGTGTACCTAATTCGCCTGGCACCGAAATGGACTCAGAACTTTCAGACCAGAGCTGCCTTAATTTCAGCAAGCTTAAATATATCTAGCAAAAAAAAAACCTTACGCCTACTGCCATGAGCCACAAGTGCCTCTTAGGCATTAATGTTTTGCGGTAGTTCATGGAAATTGTGGTTATAACTGTGTTTTAAAGCCTAAAAAACCTAGCTCAGACAGCTGCAGCTTAAAGTGAGTTGAGAATTCACAGATTAAGAAATCTGACAGTAGATTCCGAAGTATATGATCTGGTAAATATGTGCAATGAGTAATGTTGGTGTTAAATACAAAGCTGTCCAGAGCAAAACAGCCACAATTTCTATTCAAAAACACTGGGATGGGTGAATACTGATCTCCACCTTTGTGTAATATCCCAGTGGCTCAGGACTTCCTGATAAGTGAGGTACTCAGGACTTTGACTATTCTCAGGCTGTCTTTGGTTCATACATTTGTTTTAATGTTTCACTGCCTCCTAATGGTTAGAAAACCCTGAGAAAATGTCCAGAGCCAAATATTCCCAGTTTTTTAGCATGCTTTTACCACTATTATATTGTCTGTTTCTCTCTTTGACAATGTGAGTTTTATGTACTGTTCTGTTCTTATTTTCACAGGAAGCAGTAGAAGTTGTGGGTATCCCAAAATTACCTGTAGCTGTGAGAGAGACTCATCTCAAGGTTAGCTGTATCTTGTTACTCATGTTACCTGTTTCCTGAAAAAGCTGTCCAACTGTAAGGATATTTTATAATATCATTACAGAAAGATAGGATTCTCTCCCACATTTTCTAAGAAATGAGCAACAAATAATCCAGGTTTACGGGCATGATTTATACATCTTTTATCCATCAGGTCTATCAGACTCCATCTAGCAAGCTAATTCCATGTCCTTAAATCTAGGACAGATTTCACACGCCACAGTCTATCGTTTTCTACTGGTATGTTCTCTGTCAGGTGCTATGAATCTTCTTCTTTGGTATCTAACTTTATTTTTGAGCAGTTTATTAACTCTGTTCAGGAATTAAAATAGTGCTAAAAGTGTTCCACTATTAAAGAACTAATTTGTAAATTATTTGCAGGTAGAACAATTATGCTGACATGGAGGGTTTTATAAGTAACATCATATTCTGTTTAATGCCTAATCTGTGTCTTTCTTCTTCCAAATATAAGAACCTAGCTCCAGAGAACAGCAATTTCTGTTGTGGGCATGAAGATTGCCTCTTACTTCAAGCTGATAGAATCTCTTGTTTATTATTTCAGAGGCTTGTGATCTTGGTTAACTGCAAACTGATTCTCTGTGGAAATATAAACAACGTGTCGCTAGCTTTTTCTTTGTTAGGGATGTACTCCAATACAGAGATCAGCAGTGATACCAGTAGCAGACCACCCCAACAAGTGGAAAATCCCCCTTACTTTTTACAGCTGTCAAGTTTCTACAGCTGGGCTCAGCTCAGAAACATTACTCTTGGTTCACACATTAGCAAAAAATTGTACTTCTGTGTGGTGAGAAAGTCCAAGCAGCAACTGTCAGAAATCACAGGGTTTCACTTATTTCCTCATGTATCACATATGATTTAAATGCTGTAGAAATTCACAATTACCAAAAGTCAGAAGGCAGACTCCTCATATTTTACCAAACTTCTAATGTAGCATGCAGTCCCTACTATTCTTTTGGTACATCCATCTGCCACATGACATTATTTGTAATTCTTCTCCAGGATAAAGAATCAACATAGCATCAGGTTAGCATCAGTATTATTACTGTTCTTTAAACGGAGCAGTTGGCCAAAGTGCAGATCTTCACAAACTGTTTTCATTAGGGAGAGTGATAATTGAGTCTGGCATCTCTGATGCAATCCTGCTCATTTACAATGTACAAAGCCCTGTTTCCCTAAGCACAGAAAAAAATCAAAGAGGAGACAAATTCTTCACAGATAGCTTCAAACCTCTTTAATCCAGCCTCTGGCTATGAAGTTCTCCCGTACTTCTGCACTACTTCTGTGGTTACATCTGGTATATTCCTCTTGCATTTTCTCTCATCTTCTCCAGCCAATCTGCTGCGAGTCTCATACCTTTTCAATGTATCTCCATATTATGATATTTTTCCCACATATGTGCTTGCAAACACCTTTGTGTTGCTTTTTGATCTGTGTTTATGCTCAAGGTACATTTAACAGTACATATTAACTCCTTGCTCCTAAACATAAGCTTAGTGATTATCTGTATAAAATTTTCAGGGAATTTGGCAACCATAACTTTATCAAGGTTCAATTCAATACCTATCAAATTATAAAGCAGGTAAGACATGCTAGCTTTTGAGTATTATGGTATAATTTTGTAGCTTTGTGCAAGAAGGTTAGTGATGAGTGTTGGCAAGGGATGTGCAGGAAGGTTTCTAAAGCCCAGCCAAGATGTCTGAAGTGATCAGGTCTGCAGGTGTCCCATTATTTTCAGGCCACTCTTTTCCAAATTCTAAAGACCCTGTTTTCCCCTCCAGTTTAAAAGCTGAGGCCTTTATCCTGATTTCTGCAGAAAGCTCAAAAAAAAGTTTGAATGCCATTTGAAATATTTCTTGGGGCAGTAACCAAGTCTAGATAAGTTTAATCACCATTACTCAATGTCCAAAACATGAACTCTGATTCATATTCTATTTTTCTTTTTCCTATCACTGGCATAATGTTTTACAACAGGGAGTCATACAAGGGTGAGAAAACATATTTGGAAACATAAAGTCAATCTAAATCCAAAAGATGCAAATCCGTGTGCTCTATCCCCATTGTGAAAGAGCAGTTTCAGGAGTGTGCTGAAACGTTCCACAGTATGGAGCTGGTCAATAAAACCAAACACTTGAAGTTAAACTTTCTTCCAATCCCATAATTTATTTCTCAGAAATTATTTCTAGCTGTGATATTTTCTTTATGATTTATTTGACCACAGTTGTTCAGATTGTCCTTGTATAAATAGTTTGTGGATTTGGATCTGCCTTTCATTGCACAAACCTTAATATGCTTCCAGAGCAATACACAGATTCATATGTAATATGTAACTCACTCTTGCAGTCACATATTTGTACATATACAAATGCGAGAATATTTAAAAAAAGAAACAGAACCTTTTCAGAGAAATTTTATCATAAACTAAAGAAAAACATTTAGAAAAAACATACTGATTCCTTTCAAACAGCCTGTGAAAAAACTTATTTCACAAACTCCTTGTAGAAGGTTACCCCAGGGACTATTGTCCTTTTCACTATGAAACCTTTTTTCTGAACCCATGTTCCTAGCATCCAATCATTAGGCTGTGGTCTAATTCTAACTGGAAAGTCACTTTCCTTGCAGACTTTCCAGCCATCTGCTTTATGATGACAAGCATATTAACAAAATATTTTATACTTACATCTGAATTCTGAAAAAGTTCTTTGTTATGAACCCAAATCTTGGTGTCATTTGAAATTGAAAACCCAAGCTAGATTCTTGGTTTAGATCCAATTAAATGTGAACCAATTCATGCTGTGAGAAAACATGTAGGTGTAGTAGTTCTTGTAAAGCCACACAGCCATTTCTACAATTTGTGTTCGTATCAGAAGCTGACAGTTTCTAAATGTCTTTTCTTCATTTTGTTTTATATTTATGTGTATCAATGAAGAGAAACTCCACTGAACTGAGATACACACCAGTGTTTCAATGACTTAGGCAGAGACAGCCATCCAACAATCTATGGGGCAGGTATTTTATTCCTTACTGTCTTCTTTCCTGAACACCTCTTTAGACTTAAGCAGTGGGTGAGTAAGTCACTGTGATTAAATGTTAAAACTGTTTTCTTTCCGAAACAGTTTATCATGACTGTGTCTTATACACATGGAAGATGCATGATAATCCGATAAACTGTGTGTTGGGCCCAGATCAAGTCATACAGTAATCTCATATTTGAATGTGCAGTGGAGTGAAGAGTGCCTGAATGATACAGATGTGCTCAGTTATAACAGTTTATATTTTGATCATCTCAGGGAAGCAGTCATGGTCATATGGCAGGCGATGGCATGACTGATGTAAAACAATGCCTTTGTTGTGGCCTGATGACAGGGACAAATATGACCATTTCACAATATAAACAGTTCTGCAATAAGATCAGAGATGTGAGCTATTTAACGGATGTATGTCCAGCCATCTAATGGGAGACATTCATGCTACCTTCTTGTAGCTTGTTCTTGCAGAAGAGTTAAATCTCGTTGGATTAGAGCACTTATCTTGGATTTGGAGGCTTGAATACTGATTCCTGCTGTACTGCAGACTCCTTGTTATGATATGAGATACCTGACTTAGCATCCCTCCACTTGAGTTTCATGATTTGTAAATAGGAAAATTTAGTGCTATTCTTGTAGATCGTAATAATGAGGATAATCCAAACAGTTTTAATAGAAGTCACTGAAAACGTGTTAAGAGAATACAAGGAATTAGATCCTGGTTTTTACATCTTCAGGGACAATATTTCATTCCCCACAGAGAATTGACGAAGTCTGAGAAGTCTTTTAGACTCTGAGAATTAATTGAATGAAAAAGCATATTATATTACTGCCCTTGACTGAGTGGCCATACCTGCCATTTCCAATTCACATTAAAAAATGCTTGTAAGATATCGTACTGCTTTTGGGTAGGTAA